CCGGGCCGCGCAGGGTGGGCACCGGTGCGGATCGAGGGAGGCTGGCCTGCCCGGGGAGATCCGGAAGGAAAACTTTGAAACTGCCCTGGCGGCGAGAGTGCAGAGCCGCCCGCTTGGAGCTCTTCGCACTTGGGAGGGACGCCGTGCTGTTGCCTTGAGCACCTGAGCCCGCTGCCTCGGAGGCGCTCTGCAGAGCTGGAGAAGTCAGAGGCGCGAGGCGGCCGTGTCTCACCGGGGAGGTGCCCCGTCCTCTGAGCACAAGGGCTGGCTTAAGCCGTCCCCACGGCCTGGCCCCTTCCCCAAAGGTGGCGCGCACTTAGGCAACAGATACAGCTGGGATGGAGCTCGGGGAGGTTCAGATGTCCGTTCCTGCCTCTCTTGGTCACACCAGTGTGCCCAAGTTTTTCGAGTTTCCAAAGGCACAGGAACAATCAGCAACGCTGCCTGGCTTTTCCAGCCCAGTGTAATTGCAGTGTATTTTAGTCATTAATCTCCCGGGAGCTCAGCGCTTGGGACAGTGAGCACTTCACTCATCTGCAGATCCTCAGCAGTGTCCAGGGCCTTGGCAAACCGGAGAACACAGGGTGGCGTTTGCTCCCTGCTTGCCATTTTGTGGTGGGTACAACTAAGCCAGCAACAGAAGTTCGTTGTGTCAACTGCTAGGCTAGAGGTGAACACGGTTTACTTGGGTGTGTGGCTGGGAAAAAAAAAACACGCTGAATATCGCACCCCAAGATGTGCCCCATATTCTGGTTTCCTTCAGCTTTTTAAGAACTACAAGTGGCCCCTCTCCTAAGGATACTCATTCACGAAGTTCAGGGGAGAGCCAAGGACTAGCAGCTTCAAAAGCTCTACAGCCTCAGTAGTGATCACTGTATAGTGGGTACATGGGGGTAGGGCACTTGATTTATTTTGTGGTGGTTGGAGTTTGGGTAGGACAGGGAGTGAAGGTCTTGTGAAGAGCTTGACATTTGAACGGAATGGTGAAAAAGGAATCGAAGTTAGGGGGCTTGGAGTAGGGAGGGGTTTTGGCTGTGAGAGGGCAACAGGCTGACAAGTAGGCGCTCTAGGGGACTGCTAAGAGAGAAGGCCTGTTATCTGTGGGAAGACAGCTGTCCTAGGGAATCGTGCCATTACCCACGGCACAGACCGCTCAGGGTGTGGTTCCGTGTAACCTGATTCAAAATCACCTCCATGGCAGTGCAGATTCTTAGGTCCCACCCTAAATCTAGTCCTTCCACCTCTGGGTAGGCCCAGAAATCTGCAATTTTTACGTCCTTAGCTACCAGCAGGGTGGGTCCTATAGGCTGTTTTGCCCAGGCTAGTCCTGGTTTACTCGTTGGGTCTGTGTTACTATTAACAACATCATCCTTCAGTGCTCAGTGTTGGCTGGGCTTGGGTGAGAAAGCATATGGTTGCCCTAGCTATGATGCCATGGAAGGCTTTCAGTCAGGTGACTTTCTAGAACCATTGCTGTGCAGGAGTGTGGCAGACGCACCAGACGTGGAGAGTGTGGTCAGTAGGCTATCGAAGGGCTTCATCACATGTGCATTCGTTCTGCAACTGCGTGCCCAACCTGTGGCACGCATTGATTACATTAAGCTTGAGGGCACAGCGGGGAGCAGACACAAATCTCTGCTCTTGGGGAGTGTGTGTTTCACAGCAGAAGACAAAAAACAAGTGAAATGTGTCATCCAGTAGATGTTGATAAGTGCTAGGGGAAAACCAGGTGAAGTGGAAAGTGGGTAGGAAGTGTTGGGCATATGTGCCTCAGGCAGCAGTTGCAAGTTTGGGTAGGATGACTGGTAAAAGCCTGAGAAAGGTGACAGTTGAGGAATGACCTGAAGGAGGTGAGGGCTCCAGGCGTGCAGATATCTGGGGCAATAGCATTCCGGGCAGAAGCCTAGGCAAAAACCCTGGGGTGGAAAGTGTTGAGGATCAGGAAGGAGACTAAGTGTCAGTAGTTGAGGAGGGCACTAAGGAGAGAAGTAAGAGATAAAGTCAGAGAGGTCACAGAGGCAGCTGGTGGGGAGCCTTGGGGCCACAGGGAGCCACTGAGGACTTTGGAGCAGAGGAGTGCCGTAGTGTGGTATAGCTCTCGTGGTGCTATGTGGGCAATGGAGGCTACTATAGCAGGCCAAGCAAGAGAAGGATGACTTAGCCTAGAAAGGTGGAGTGGAGGAGAGGCTGTGCGGTCAGATTCTGGACAGAATTTGAAGAAGACCAGCAGGGTCAAGGCAGCAGGGTTTGCTGAAGACTGGTCGTGGGCACCAGAGAAGAATCAAGGAGGGTGCCCAGGTATTTCGCAGTGGGAAAGGGTGTTGCTGAGGTGGTCAGGTCTCTAAGCAGAGCAGAGTTACAAAACAGGCTTTGGCACATCAGTTGTGAGCTGCCATTGTATGTCCCCAAGTGGCTGTCAAAGGGCTGGTTCAACGATGGGGACACAGCTGGAGACCCAACTCTTGGGGGAGGGTGGCGATAGGGCAGGCAGAAGAGCACGGCCTGTGAGCATTCAGCTGTGCGGGCTGTGGGCCGAGGGGTCAGGAGAGTCCAGCTTAGAGAAGCAGAGCTGGGCGCCTGCTCTGGCCTGCAAGTAGTTGTTGATGCCAGGAGTGCAGAGGGCACATGCACAGGCCAAAGAGAAAGGAGACAGGACGAGGGCATGTGGCCTCCATCCGCTTGTGCCATCTCCAGCTCCTGTATGCCCTCTGCTTTGCAGTGGGCCCGGCTCTGCAGGCGTGGCTTGGCATACTTCCAGGGCTCAGGACCCCTCACCCCTTTTCTTAGTTCTCTGCTCCCCTGTGGCCCTGTGAGAGCATGTGGCTGGTGACAGAAGCAAGACCCCCATCCAGACCCCCTCCTGTCTGCCCTCTAACAGTACCACCCTATGTAAGCAGCACTGGCCAGGATACCTCTAGTTGCAGGTAGTTACAGAAAGCAGAACTCAGTTGAGCCGAAGCCACAGAGATATCTTGGTTCCTGTAACAGCCCCAGATGGGGAGAGATGGCGTGGGCACTGCTAGGGCCGGAGATACAGAGATATGGCAGCATTGTCAGGACTTGCCACTTCTTGATTTCTCTGCCCTGGCTTTCTGTCTCTGCAGGTCTTCAAGGGGTAGGCAGGATTGGCTACAGTAACTGGGAGGTGCACACACCTCAGGGGCCAGAGGAAACCTGGGATCTACTGGCCTGGCAAACTCACCTCCAAGTGGGAGTGGGAGGAGGAAGGGATCAGCCCATACAATCCCACCAGAGCAGGCGGGGGTGCAGTTCCTCAAAGGAGAGAGAAATGTCCTATCAGAGAACGGAGGAAGGCTGGGCAGATGGTAGCAACAGCTCGCTCTTGGTCAGCTTGTGGGTTCCAGCAGTTATTTTCCTGTATTAACAATCAAGGATGGCTGCTGACAGAGGAAAAGGCATCGTGACAAGGAAACTAGGAGATAAGCTGGCAATGAAGGTGTGAGCCTTGTGCTCACTTAGGCAGCACATACACTAAAGGTGTGAGCCTAAGGAAATCCCTCCCCGTCCGCCCTCCATCTTCGTTAGAAACTGTGCTTAGCAATTGTCATAGGTTCTGGGCATGTCATGGGAATGTCTGCCCCTTCAGTGAGGGTTTTTACTTGTATTTTCAAACACACAGATGACTACTGGGCTGTCTTCATCAGAGACTGCAATTTAGATCACTAATACAGAACCTTACTTTATTTTACTATTTAGGTTATTTGACATTGCCTTGAGGTTCCAGGTATTTCTTTCCTTCAGGTACACAAGTGTGGGTTGAACACTAGTGATACAGTTTGAAAAGATCTGAAACATTTTTTACAGTGAAAGCTACCTACACCGTAAACTTTCCTGAGTGTCTTTTCCCCCTTTGCTTGATTTCCTCAGTGTTAAGGCAAATTGTAGAGGAACCCAGCTCCCCGGGGCCATTTTCAGTTCTCATTGCCTAGTTTGCTTCTGTAGTCCTTTAGGAGAGGTGAGCGCAGCCCAGCTACTCAGCAGTCAGTGGCCTTGGGCAAACCTGGCTGGGTTCTCTCATTTGTCCAGTGGGTCGCTGAGGCCAGGCAAGACTGTGAGTGGGAAAGGCTGGGATACTTCTGGGCATGGTGAAAGCGGAAGATGCCATTGCTGTGTGCTGTTACGCATTCATAGAAGGCAGGTCACAGCTTTAGTGGGCTGGCTTTAGCTCAGCGATCCTGGGACCTTTGTGCCCTGTCACCTCTGTGCCTCCATTTCTCATCTCTGAAGCATGTTGGCCAGTCCCTGATCTGCCTTGTCACACCACGGTTACTTCTCCTGAGTTATCAGAGCACTCACAGAAATGGAAGTAGCGTTTTTACTATACACAAAATGCCGTTTTCCCACTCTGCTCTTCATAAACTCACAATCAGTTCTGCTGCATGAGGAGTCTCAGGTTCACTCAAAAGTACACTGTTTTCTGGATTTCAAATGCAGCCTGAAATTGATTGAAGTTTGGAAAACATGCTGTAAGATAAGTGTTTCACTTCAGAATTAATTTTTCTATTAAGAATCTGCCATATAATTGCACTAGGATAAAATTCTGGTAATATTAGAGAATAGCGTGCTTAACTAACACCTAGAATCTTTAAACTTTTTTAAAAGTTGTGTTCATTTAAAGTTAACCAGGAATCTAATCTTCCTAATTGTCAGTGATTTCTGTTTTTATATTAAATGTAAAGCTAACCAAATAGTTTAGTAGAAGTTCATTCAGCTAATAAAATGTATATTCCAAGTCAATTCTCATTTTTGTCACCACGAGTCTCGGTTTTAAAAAATTTGTTAATCACTGTTTCTTTTAGTCCTACAGGGTCACATGTTGAATGGTGTAAACAGCTTATAGCTGCCACAATTTCTAGTCAGATTTCAGGTTCAGTGACATCAGAGAATGTGTCCAGAGATTACAAGGTAAGCAACATTGAGTGTTCAATTCATTTTCAGTATATTTAGCAGCCAAGAAGCTTTGCAGATTTAAGAAACATATATTTTCTTTTTTAGTATTCTGTATTTCAGAAAAACAATCTTAATGTACAGTATCTCTAACATCACAGTTTGTGTGCTTAGGCATTACCTGTGAGTATTCAGCATTATCATGTGATACATGAATTTAGAAACAATTGCAGAATTTGAGAATATTATATAGGTAGCCTCCTTTTTTAGTCTTTACTGGAGTGAAAAAATCTCTTTGTTTTAAAAATTGTATTCTTGCTCATTTTAAAGTTAAGAGTGGCCGGGCGTGGTGGCGCACACCTGTAATCCCAGCACTTGGGAGGCTTGAGGCAGGAGGATCGCTGCGAGTTCTAGGCCAGCCTGGGCTACAAAGTGAGTTCAAAGCCAGCCAGAGCTGCATAGTGAGACCCTGTCTCAAAAAGACGGAAACAGTAAAGTTAAGAGTGATATGCTCTTTGTTGGCTGAGACTGCTGCTCTTTCACTCACCACTGGTTTCCCAGCACAATCCTGCAATATAGGTACTCACCAATTGCTTGTTGATTCAGTTAAACAAGCAAACAACCCCTTGCTCCATTTTTGTTCGGGCCAAAGACTGACTCTGTTTTATTGTTCATAGACTATTACAGGTGCACTAACTGAAGCCATATTTACATTTCAGTTATGGTGTTTGCTTGAATGGAGGTTCCAGTTTCTCGTAGGTATTTCTGTCTGCTAGGATGAGACAGCTGATTTTTACAGGCATCTGTGGAATACTTTTGGTATACTGGACTACTATTAGTTAACAGTTTCTCGGAATCATGGTCCTTGGCGGACATTAAATCTCACAAATAGCTCAAGAATTGCAGTGAAGGTCCTAATTAATTCTCAAGACCTACTCCTTTAATGGAGGGGTTTTAATCTCAATTCCTCCTCAGCTCCTAATGGAGCAAGCACAGAAACTGGCTCAAGGGGCTGAGAGGTTGTGCCTTTGAGATTTGGCTGTGGAGCTGTCCCTTGCTTCTCAAGCCAGCAGATGCTGTGAATTATGCCTGCCACAGGCACGCGTAGCTATGGATGAGTGGCAGCTGTATCATCTGCCCACTAGAAGAGTGTCCCCTGTTCCCTGCTTCTCATATTTGCCGTCAGAGGAGCAGCTGGGAGTTCTGGTCTTCACACCTTGGCCTGGCAAACACACTACCTCCCTCTGGGAGAATTTGCTGCATCACGGATGCCTGGGTGGCCGGCCACTTGTCCCAGGTGCCCTGTTGTTCCCACTTACCCCAGGAACTGCCTGGTGAAGGCGAGGCTCAGGGACATGGAGGAGTAGAAGATAGTGCTCAGCCCTTGGGGTGATTTTCTTCACGGACATTTGTGAGGGAGCCGTGATGTTTGTGGCTGGGTACCTGTGAGTGTTGTGTGGTTTCTGTAGGAGACTGCGTGTTGACTGTGTGCCTAGCTTTCTAACCTTTACGCTCATAGAGCAGACCAAGTCTGTACTTTAACTTGAGGCAACCAAGTTTTATCAATTTTAGTTCATTTATAAATTGTGTGTGGCAGAATTAGCTCATGTCACAATGGTTTAGCAGATGGTATTCAAAAAAATAAGGCTTTTCTGTATTTTAGAAGTTAAAATTGAAGTCCCTACATTGGTAGTAGCTAAAGCCTTGGAAGAAGAATGATAGGAGGGCATGTTTTATAACTGTCTTTGTTATATTTTCTCTGTAGCCAAATCTGCAGAGTTGGCATTTAATTTATAATTTTTGAGCTATTATGCTTTCTTCAAAGAGAGGGATTTTTAAAAAATAATAAAAGCATGTCAAATATAGTGGCATAAGTCTATAATCCCACCTACTCCAGAGGCTGAGGCAGGAGCATCACAGGCTTGAGGTCAGTCTGAACAACTTAGTGAGACCCTGTCTCAAAATAAAAGTTTAGAAAGGACTGAATATGTGTCTCAGTGGTAGAGCAGTTGCTTAACATGTGTGAGGCCTGGGATTCAAAAATAAATAAATAGATACATAGGTGATTGATAGATAGAATAAAATATTTCTAAATCACAAGAATAGTTGTATATGCTCCTTATAAATAAAGTAATTCCTAGCTGGGCATGGTGGCACACGCCTGTCATCCCAGCACTCAGGAGGCTGAGGCAGGAGGATCATTGCAAGTTTGAGGCCAGCCTGGGCTACAAAGTGAGCTCAAGGCCAGCCTGAACTGCAGAGCGAGACCCTGTCTCAAAAACACACACACATACACAAAAAGTAATTCTTAAAGCTGAGCCTTCAAGGCCTCTTCTGGCATGTTAGCCGTTGCATGAGTTTGGCCCCGAAGGTCCAGATACAGTCCCTTGATGATCTAAGGTGCACACATTAGTTGTTAATATTTGAAACTATCTATTATGTAAATATGTCTTATCTGAAGTACACATTTACTTTGGAGGTTGTATTATTATAAGTTAAGCTCCAATTAGAAATTTAATGGGAACAGATGTTAATATGGAACATATCACTTGCATCTTACTTGAAATTCTGGTTGTCTTGTGAGCTGTTGGCTGCTGTGAGTGGTTCATATCATCATCATAATCAATAATTCTCTAGAACATATGAGGCTCACTAGTTTTATAATACTTTTTGACATGTCATCCATTTAACCCTTAAAATCACCCAATGAAGTAGTCATTGCTATAATCATCATTTATCAGATCAGGAAACAGAAGCCCTTAAGAAGTAATTGCTTAAGATTAGACAGTTAAACTTGGAATTTGAACCCAGATCACCCTATTGAAAAGCTAGAGTAATTTTAAATTTTGGGTCTCCTGTCTACTGTTTTTGTTTGTTTGTTTGTTTTGTGTTTTTTTGAGACAGGGTCTCACTATGCAGTTCAGGCTGGACTTGGGTTCACTTTGTAGCCCAAGCTGGTCTCAAACTCAACGATCCTCCTGCCTCAGCTACTCAAGTGCTGGGATTACAGGCATGCACCACCACACCCAGCCCATCTACTGTTTTTAAAAATGTATCTTACTGTTCTAGTGCTTCCTGGACTGCCTCTAAAAATGCAGTTTCTTGGCCCTTCTCCCATCTTAGCCAATCGTAATACCTGAGGAAAGGAAATAATTGTATCATATATTTCTTGTGCAGAACCTGAAAGCCTAGGGTTCCTAAGTTTATGTCTGTTTAAATTGGTGATGGGACCAAATATATCTGTCTCATTACTATAAACTTGAAAAATAAGCATCTCATGTTAGGTGTTGAGAACAGTTATTTATTCTTTATTTGTATCATAAGTTGTCACTTAGGATCAGATTACCCAAAGTGTGGTAATAATATCACTGATACCATGTGAGATGAATTTGTATGGTATGAGCATGGACATATTTTAATAGGGTTTGTTTGTTTGTTTGTTTTGAGACAGGGTCTTGCTCTGTAATTCAGGCTGGCCTTAAACTCGCAGTGATCCTCCTACCTAGTATGCAGAGTTCTAGGATGACAGGCCACCAGGCCTGGTAATAGTTACATAATTATTTTATTATTTTACATAAAATAATTTTGTAATTATTTTATTTATTAGAAAACTAGCATATCAAGCTTGTGATTTAACAGATATTATTGCTTAGAGCAGACAAAGTATACAGGAGTAAATTTTACATCAGTATAAAGACATACTAATATTAGTACAAGTGATATTCAGATGTAACAGGCCAAACTTGTAGTATTGTGAAATGACAGAAGTTTGGCAAACATTGCCCCACCTGAAAGAGTAGGTAGTTCTTATGTTCAATTGTAGGTCAACTAAATTAATAACTGCATTCTTTCATACCAAGTCATCCTGATGAATTGCCGGATAATTAAGACTACTAAGAGAAATGTAATAAAATGTTTGTTTTCCTCACCTCCCCAACTGCCATCTCACTTGGTTTCATTTTTACTAGGCTAACAAACAGTTAAAATAAGTCTCACTCAAATTTGTCAAAAAAAATTAAGAACAAGATGTGAAAGTAATGTTCTGTGGATTAGGTGAAGTAATACAATTCCAAATTATAATGAAACATTTCTAAAAACTAAAATGACACAGTTGATCACAGTTTCCATTGTTTGGAAAGCAGAACTAGGCCAGGAAGAGGGGACCTGGTGGAGTAGTACAAACAGTACTGGTTGGCTTTATGCGCTTGTATAATCTCTGGACAGTTTCCATACCTGTAAAGATAAAAGGGTTTGGGTTAGATGATAAGCTTCTAGAACCCTTTGTTTCTAGAACATTTTTTAGGTATATTTTGTCATAGGATCTAGTTCTTGCCAGCATTATGGAAATTAGGACACTGGTTTTAATATGACCATCTTGCTTCTCTGGCTCTATCATTATTGTCATCATCTCTCTGTTCCTGTCCTCCTCCCATTACCCATGCACATACAGTCACTAGATCTTTTCTCTAAACATTCTGGAGAAGAAGGACAAAATAGAGAAAGTGCTACACAAAGTTTGATCATTGTACAGGACAGTACAGTAATTAAATTCTGGATCCTCAACAAAAATTTCCAAAAGGGTTTTGGAGGGAACTGTTGTTAAGGAGGTTACCTCCTCCCATCCAGTGCTACTGAAGGCCCTGTGGGGTGCAGTATTGAGGCATCCTTTCTCTTCTCAGCTGGAGAGATTGCTGTGGAAGTCTAGCTGGGAGCTATAACTCTTGCCTCTGTTCAGCAGTAACAAGGAAACCCTCTACATTCTGATGTCAAGGGAGGCTGAGTCTAGACTTCTACCCTACCTGTCAGTAATAAAATAGTATCAGAGAAAACCAGCTAAAACAGAAGTTTTAAGTAAGACCCACAGTCTCAGATATAATCCCCAAAATGTCATTATTTCTTTTTTTTTTTTTCTGTCTTTTGAGACAGGATCTCACTATGCAGTTCAGGCTGGCTTTGAGCTCACTTTGTAGCCCAGGCTGGCCTCAAACTTACAACAATCCTCCTGCCTCAGCCTCCCG